TATATAAAAAAAACATGACTAAACCCTGAAGTAACAAGTTTGTTTTTATAATTTGATCAAATTAAAGAATAAGCTACGCTGTGTTGTAAGCTCTAGATTATTTGTGTTGTTAAATTTAATATCTATTACCATTTATATTCCCACAGTTACACATTATATAGTGTAAATTTGATATTAGGACTCAAAGTATACAATGATATACATTGCAACGTATGTTACACTAAAAGGGAAAGCACTTATCATAAAGCAAAACAATCTTAAGAAGCATATTATAAAATGCTAAACGGTATTAAGGTTTTATTATTGAGAGGCACGCCTTTTGGCACCAGAGTGATCAAACACCATTTATGGCAACACATTTCTGATTTCTGGCATCAAATCATTTATACTTTTTAATAATTAAAAACAGCGTGTGTAATATGAACAACAATTCCTATTGCCATTTCGCTTTGTGGTCGGTGTTTGTGTACACGTAAATATTTTAAAATCGAGCACAAATTTTTTTAACCAGCAGATTTAAAAATTGTATGCCACTAAATGTAACCCACAGAGCACAAGGTACATCTGTAGCGCAGTATTGTATAGATAGGGGTTTTAAACAAAAATATTTCAATCGTTTGTTTTGAGCGTAAAAATTAGCGTATGTGATTTGCATTATGCTCAGAGAATCGTTTATAGTGGTTGGACTAGTTTTGGTATAATGATGACAGAATTGTTTAGTGATTGGACTAGTTTGGTATAATGATGACAGAATTGTTTAGAGTGGTTGGACTAGTTTGGTTTAATGATTACAGAATTGTTTAGTAGTTGGACTAGTTTGGTTTAATGATGACAGAATTGTTTAGTGGTGGGACTAGTTTGGTATAATGATTACAGAATTGTTTAGTAGTTGGACTAGTTTGGTTTAATGATGACAGAATTGTTTAGTGGTGGGACTAGTTTGGTATAATGATTCAGCTTGTAATTTGTGACTGGATGTGATCTACGCATAGAAAAGACAACAGAACATTTTGGTGTAAGGGAACATCTCAGTTTCACACGTAGATATATGAATACACATAATATACAATTATTACAAATAGTGTTAGATTAATTGTTGTTTTGTTTGGATGATATCGAGAAATAGGAACTTACATTGATAAATTTATGTGGTCTTGTTGTAATTTCAAAAGTTAAAAAATCGAAAATGGAAACGAGAAAAGTTTCTCGAAATTTAAAGTCGAAATTTTTACCATGCAATTTGTGAATAAATTATATGTAGTCGTTAAAACTATATAACCCATGGTAATCAAAAACAGTTCTACTAAATATATGCTAGAGACGTCATTTGATCATTAAAAATGTAACATTTGATCTATTGTATTCTTCTATACGCAAATTGGCTGTGTATTTACCAACCGTGTATTGCTGGACATATTGATTTAATTGTTAGTGTTTTATTGTGTAAGAATAAACGTTCGATCATGTTTTATTTATCAGAGGGGGTTATGCAAGATGCGCCAATTAGAACAACGCTGGATTTTCACTAAAACAAAATCCCCCATACTCATTTGTACGTAGCACAGAGATAGGCTACCACGAAACTTAACTTTTTTAGTCAACACCGCAATGTTCAGCTTTCATCTCTTCCAACTTTACAGCATATAAGAAATTAACGAAGGGATTATCACCATCTTGCTTCAATTATTGTGCGAGTTCGCATTATACAAATAATCGCTATAAATGAGAAGATTAATAACGATGGGCAGACTGGGTTTGTGCTTGTGTGGTAATACACACTTTAATATTGAGCTCAGATATTTTAGGCGTTTGGACCAAGAATTTTTGCAGTGTTGATGTACTCACGTTTTAAAATTACGTGAGTTCAGTGTGAGAAATATCTTGTCTATTTTATAATGATATGAATAGAGGACTCGGATTAAAATAAAGATGTTACCAACAAAATTTAACAGCATTACACCGAAATAAATGTAGAAATCCGACAAGGTATATTTAACCATGAGTAAGTTTATGTACAATAGCAATAAAATGTTTATGACTTTTGTGCCCCGAATTACTAGCCACGAAAAATTATCTTTTGTCATTTAATCAAGAAAAAGGCTATGCAAAGAAAAGGGATATTGGCAATAAGCATAAACGATGTTATTGTGCTTTTTGAGAATTTTTTTATATTTTTTATTATTTTATTATTGTAGTAGTATCAAAATAGGAGACTGTGTGATTATTAAAGTTGTTTGTCGTAGTGTCTTAGTGTTTGAAACAAGGGAATTGAAAAGTTATTTCATTAAAAACGTCTGGTTAAAAAAGTATATCAAATGTTATGCTCATTTTAAAGAGTTTTGGTTTGTGTATTTTAATGTTGTATATTATGTTATATGGTAATACTAAACTTGTATCGTGAGGGTTTATCAAAGGGTTTTTTTTTAGTGTTTGCACCAAGGACCTTGAAAAGTACTTATGTGAGCGGGTTTATGCGTACGTATATATATATATATATATATATATATATATATATATATATATATATATATATATATATATATATATATATATATATATATATATATATATATAGTGACCATTAGGGTCGTTCTTTTTACGCTACTAGTCGACGTAGTAGAGAATCCAGATCTTGATTGGCTTCTGCGTGGGCGCTTCGTGCACAACGTGTGTGAGAGGTTACGTGAGTAACTAGAGTGGGTGTTTGTTGTGTTTGCTTGTTTGTTTGTTGTGTTTGTTTGTTTGGTTTATAGGTTTTTTTTATGACTAGAGTTTGATTGTAGTGTTTTTATTATTTCTTTTTAATATTGATGGTTCCATTTTCTAAGTAAATAAAAATTTTAAGTCGATTTATTTTAATTTTTTTAAAATCTAAATTAAGGTTAGGGTTTAACCAGTCTGGGTTTAGCCAGACTTTCACTGACAACACAATAGTTGATTAGACTAGGGGTAGAGTTAGAGATATTTAAGGTTCTTATAACAATTTGAGGTTATTTTATGTCCAAATGTTCCTCTTGAAGGAAACCGGAAATCAAAGTTGTATCAAATCTTATGTTAGGTGTTCAGACGTGTCTTTTGACAAACGTTGATTTAATTGGTTATACAAAGATAATATCTGTCTTATACCTAAATCATGTGGTTAAGATAATATAATTATCATGCGAATGTAACGTTTTTGCAAAAATAAAAATATTTAAAAAAAAATTTAAAACATGTGTAGAACTTTGGGTTAATGTGTTGATTCAAGAAATATATTTGGCACAAAATGTATCCGATGCATTAAAGACGCGATCACCCAATCAACACCAGAACTTAATACGTTGTAAATGGAACAAAAAAATCAATAAGTTAAAAGACGGAATTAAAGAATCAACAATTTAACATCAAGCGGAATATATTCCTAATAGAATGAAAGAATCACCAAGGTAAAACATGGAATACATTCCAAATGGAATGATATATGTTGTGTTGGCTTTTGTAGCTCTGGCATATAAAGAGTATTATAATTCATTAGCACGTACTGAAATTAGTTGTTATTAAAAATTAATAGTAAGAAATTTACGTACGATTAAAATAAAGTATAATAAAAGGTTGCAAGGACTTTGGAACAAGAAAAAAAAACAAAAAGTAAATTATTTTAAAAAATACAATCAAACAACAGAATATTGACATCAGGAGATGACTATTGTATTGTATATGTTGAAATTTAACTTGGCATGAAAGTAAGTAACATTTATTTTTTAAAGTTAGCTGAAATTATTTATAAGAAATTTGTGAAAAATCAGAGCATGCAAACTATACGAAATTAAATAAAAAATATATTTGAAAATATGTTTTGATATCTTGCCGGATTGAGCTTTGTCTGGAGGAACAGTGCCGGGTCTAGCACTGCCGTATGTAGCAGTGCCGGATGGAGCTATGCCGGATAGAGTAGTGCCAGATGAAACAGTGCCGAGTCTAGCATAGGCTCTTGAAGTCTCTCATACGCAAATGTCGATCCTCCAAAAAATGGTAAATATGAAATGGTATCGTCCCAGATAAGACTGCACTAGGTTTCTTCAGTACGATGGTAACTGCTGTCATGTTAGTTTCGTATTTCTTTTGTCTCTGTACGCAGCTAACACCAATCGGAAAAAAAAATATTGTTTAATAAAGCATATACATTTATTTTTGTTACAATTTTTGTAAGGTCAATTTTTAAAATTCTTTAAATCAAGATATTAAGACTAACGACTAGCTATTTTCCAAATTACTTTTAAAAAATAAATGCTCAAGTAGTCAATCTGCTAATGATTTATCAGTGAAATAATTAAAAGTAGTATTTTCAAGGGAGGCAACTCTTCGCATTGTAATCATTGAGTGGTCGTTTACACAGTTGTGCCCCATTGATTTAATAATTATTTTTTTCTTTTAGTACAAGTTTAACAAATATTTTTAAAAAGTTATGAAATTCGATAGAAACGTTGCTAAAGTGCCAAATACAATTTAAAAGGTAGACTTGTGTTCCCAAAATCACAAATTACTACAGATGAATATCAGTACCGCTGTCATCTATTAAGGACGTACTGCAGGTTTACTTAATCAAACTATATTTCAATGATCATTTAACAACTAAAAATTATCTTTTTATTATATAAGTTCAGCAGTAAATAATCGATAGATGTATCATATTTCAATGTTAATCCTCAATACATTCCCGTCAATGCCCTGGACGCTAAGTAAAATAAAAAAATTTAATTAAATTAAAAAAAGTAAAATTAAATTTTAAAAATTAAAAACATGCATGAAATAGCAGTGATGCTTTGATCTAGGAAAGTCTTTAGAAAATGTTACACCAGAGTATCTGTAAGGCGGCAATATAGAAAATATAATTTTAACTAGCAGTCGCCCCATGGGTGCGCAATACCCACACGGAAGTTTCACGTGTCCCCCCCCCCACCACCACCACACACACACGGGGAAAAAATGAAAATGTCTGAAAGAAACCATGAATGAAGCTCACCTTAATATTGTGTTTCAGTAAATATTAGTTGGCTGCACAATAAAACTCCGGCAAACTAGATAAGGAACTAGATGAGGAAGAAAATAACGAGGAACTTGGCCTATCACATCCTGTTATGAATAAAAATTTAATTTTCAACCATGTTTAACTACTCTTAAAACTAATATTAGTACGGTTTTATTTCAGGAATATAATATTTTATCAAATGAGTTATTGTTTTAACTAAAGACAGGGACAAGCGATCAGAATTTATAGCACACAACGCTAACCTGTATGTCTGGAGTTAGTCAGTTTCATCATCCAACTCAGTTGTGTGGGCTACACGACTCTCTCCACATAAACAGGTCAACTCTACCTCGCCCGCCCTAAAGAGCGTTATGTCTGTGAAGGTCATTAAACATTTCGAAAATTAAAAAACATTAAAGCATTTTTTTAAATATTAAAAGATGTAATATATATTCTTTTTTAATAAGTAGCTTTAATTTTTGTTTATGGCTTAATTTTATGTTCTCTTTAAAATATAAAAATTAAAAAAAAAAAACATCGACCATATAAATTTAGGTCAGGTCAAGGTGACCCAAGCGCATTACACGTAGCTGACCTGGCTGGTTAGGAAAATTAATTAAGGTCAAGCTGACCCAGGGCACCACAAAAATCTGTTAATAGAATCAAAGCAGACGACATACCCAATTAAAGCAATAAAGCTGACGTGTCTATTGTCTTGTAGGACACAGTAGAGGGGGTGGGATCGTGCAGGTGGGATTGTCACGTGATCCAGGTGGTTTATGGGATTGTTTGTATAAGGTTTTCAAGGCTAAGCCCGAACAACAGGATAGGGGAGAGCACAAGTGTAATTAAATACATTTTCAAACCGGGTTCGATTAACTCCCTTAGGACACGTTGGAGGAAAGATAACCAATGGAAAGTGTCCTATGATTTGGATCGATAATTATTGATTATTCATTTTCGATAGAACACGTCATTATATTAATACGTGCGACTTTTATGATAGATTAGAGCAGTCTGACTTGCTATAAAGGTCCACCTGTGAACGTCCCCTTGTATAGGCGTGAATAGGACGAAACAATGGCGTCACAAGGCGGGGGGGCGGGGGAGGTGCTGTTCCCACCGGGTAACACCATCTAGGGGGTGACACAGAATCAGTTTCTTCCAGAAAGTCTACCGCCTGCCCCGTCCCTCCCCCCCCCCTCCACCCTAACTCCCCCTCCCACCTTGAACAAAATTGAATTTATAAAGAAAATATATACTTTTACCAGTGTCCGCCCCCCCCCCCTCCCAAAAATATCAAGTATCCCCTCCCCGTCCCGGAGAAAAAAGTCTAAAAGAGACACTGCACGGGAAAAAAAGCGGCGCATCTGCTTTTATTTCGAAATGTAACAGCACAGCAAGAAACCATTGTTTCTTTCACTTTTTTCTCCCAGGCGGGGGTGGGATTAAAACTTGGGGAGGAGGAGGGCAAGTAGATTTTCCCGGTGGAGGAAAAGTAAATTTTCCTGGTTAAGGGGGGGGGGGCACTGGGACAAATATATATTTTCTTTATAAATTATATTTCGGGAGGGAGGAACTGTGAGAGGTTTCGAGGAGATGCCTGAAAGTAACACAGCTCCTAACTACCTGCAGAGTTTCTTCCCGGAGCCACAGAAACCCATTTTAGCGTGCAGGGAGACAACAAAACTTGAGGGGAGGGGGGAGAGGTGAGGCTACACGAAGTACTCAGTGTCCACAACTAAGATGTTTGTTACAACCCAGACGTCATTTTAAAGTAAGCTTTAAGATAGGAGAATAGAGTATGACATTACATACCTGTGATCTTCCCACTAAGATTCGAGTTAGCAAACGCGCATTAGAGCACAGTTCTACAAATTTTCAGAGGGAGGGTGGCCGTCCCAGGCGTCGACAATTTAAGTGCCATTAAGTGTAGAAAGAAATTTAATAGTTCCATGTGAGCATCGTTAAACAGACAAAGTAAAGAAAATAGACTATTTTATGACTGTGCAGACTTGACTATTTTCTAAATCATCTGTTTAACACAAAGTAAATGTTGTTTAAAGACGTTAAAATACGCCAGAAAATGAATCAACTAGACAGTATCGTGAACAAAAATAAAACACTTCTGATCCGCCACAGGTAAGGCTTTACCCCCTGTTTTCAAAAATCGGTATGCTGCATACCATTAAAATTAATGCTAAATATAATGGGATTTCACCCTCCAAAATTTTTTTAAATAAAAAAAATAACTCTAGAGGCGTTTTTTGTTACAAAAACTAGCCAACTGACTCTATTAGAGATATTTAAGATCAATGATTATTATGACCAATATATAAGTTTGTTATTTAACCTCGAGACCTCCTGAGAAGATTTTTTTAAATGGACGCCGTTTTACAAGGCAACCATATTTTCAAAAGAGTTCTTGCAAATATTGTCCCTTATAGAACCCTAACTTACATAGACACAAACTTGAAAAAAGTTTTTAAGATTTTAAAAAATGTCTTTGTTTTTGTTTTTCGTGATGCCTTCCCCATTAAGGTTTGGTTTAGGTTAAGGGTTTGACTAGAGGTAAAACTAAGTGTAGTACTAAATTATAATGTGAATTGCATTAATATCTGCCACAGCATAAACAAATAAATTGCTCTATAGTACGACAGAATGTGACAGAGCTAGACTGCAAAACGGAAAGTTTCGAGTTCGAATCCGGGTACAAGTCTCTGAGTCCACCCAGCTCTAATGGGTAGGCCTACCTAACTCGCGTTAATTAAATAAATTCGGCGGAGCATAGTTTTGACCACTCTATCCCTTCATATACCGAAGTCTCTGAAGTAGATAAACTCTACTTCACTTGTCTCATGTGTCTTGGTACGAACGGGAGAAGATTATGACAGTTAAATAGGAGATTGGATGATTCTTCTGTGGAAATCAAGGCTCAAAACCTAGGTAAGTTGAGAAAACTTCATAAAGGCCCAATTATCATGGGCCCCTTCTCACCATATAGCATATGGGCCTAACATAACACCACAAGCATAGAATATCAACTTTTTCGTTTATTTAAGTTATTATTTAAATACACTGGTTCATGTTTCATTTTATGAATTACAATAAATTTTACTGTGTTACAAGTTTCATTCTATTAAAATCACAGATTACAAACAAACCCTCAAATAAAAACATAAACTTACCAAATTATGGAGCTAGAATTGCATGTTCGACTTTCAGAAACGTCAGTAGTGCTTTATCCTTCATACTCTCTGCTCCATGAGTTCTTAACAGGCCGATTTCTGACACATTTTCCTTTTTTACTCCGGAGAATTTCTTGTACATTGGGTTAATTATGAATCAAAGGTATTTACTTTCAATAGTTTTGATATAAAATTGGCTGTCAAAGAATACATACAATTTGTCGTAGTGTAAATTTCTTTTAGGTTTAACAGTGAGTTCAAAGTCCAACGAAATAATGAAAAAGTTTCCAGCGAGTCCGCCCTCTAATGATATGATAAACAATCCGATGTGTTCAGCCTATGATCTAAGGGCCGCCTAACACATAAAAGACGAGCGGGTGGCGACAGTCTACCTTCGCTGTCTCACAGCCTAGCTTTAGCCAGGTTCGAGTCACGTGAGACATTTTTTTCTCATCGCCGTTCTAAAAATAACATCCATTCGTATTGATACACCTACGAGGCTATTGTAGACGATAACAAGCAATGGTTGCGTATTGCGTAATTAATAAAATTAACTTAATTTACTAATCTACAATGCAGACGTAAATTATAATTACAATTATAATAGAGTGATATAATTCATTTAAAATATATTTTGTAAAATACTTTACAATGGTTGAACTAGAACCATTTCGCCCTCTCCCGCCAAAAAAAAATGTATTTTGGGCTCATATATAGGCAATATTTTAATACATACATACATATATATATATATATATATATATATATATATATATATATATATATATATATATATATATATATATATATATATATATGTATGATATAGTACATGGGTACATTTGCCCCGCTGGTCTATCAGGAAAAATAATTTCAGTGGGCTCCGTGCAATGGTTTTGTAATTGGCCTATTACTAAAAATTGATATTTTAAAAATAGATTGCTAGTATATTTTCTATTTTACCGTGTCTCTTCCTTTGTGCTTAGGCCTAAAAATTTTCTCAAGCCCAGTCGCGAAATTTCCATTACGCAAGCGTATGTTAACAAATATAAAAAAAATTGACTTTCATCAAAGTAAGCAACTTTTGCTTTTAAAATTTTAAAATTTCTTTCCAGTTTTATTACTTTTGACAAAATGTTACCCTCTTATTAAAAAGTTAATGTATGGTCTAGAAGGGAGTCGGTGAGTTAATGTATGGTCTACAGTAGAGGGGAGTCGGTGAGTTAATGTATGGTCTACAGTATAGGGGAGTCAGTGAGTTATTGTATGGTCTACAGTTTAGATGAGTCAGTGAGTTAATGTATGGTCTACAGTAGAGTGGAGTCGGTGAGTTATTGTATGGTCTACAGTTTAGAGGAGTCAGTGAGTTAATGTATGGTCTACAGAAATGGGGAGTCAGTGAGTTAATGTATGGTCTACAGTATAGGGGAGGCAGTGAGTTATTGTATGGTCTACAGTTTAGAGGAGTCAGTGAGTTAATGTATGGTCTACAGTAGAGGGGAGTCAGTGAGTTATTGTATGGTCTACAGAAGTGGGGAGTCAGTGAGTCAATGTATGGTCTACAGTTTAGAGGAGTCAGTGAGTTATTGTATGGTCTACAGTTTAGAGGAGTCAGTGAGTTATTGTATGGTCTACAGTATAGGGGAGTCAGTGAGTTAATGTATGGTCTACAGTAGAGGGGAGTCGGTGAGTTAATGTATGGTCTACAGTATAGGGGAGTCAGTGAGTTATTGTATGGTCTACAGTAGAGGGGAGTCGGTGAGTTAATGTATGGTCTACAGTATAGGGGAGTCAGTGAGTTAATGTATGGTCTACAGTAGAGGGGAGTCGGTGAGTTAATGTATGGTCTACAGTATAGGGGAGTCAGTGAGTTATTGTATGGTCTACAGTTTAGATGAGTCAGTGAGTTATTGTATGGTCTACAGTATAGGGGAGTCAGTGAGTTATTGTATGGTCTACAGTTTAGAGGAGTCAGTGAGTTAATGTATGGTCTACAGTAGAGGGGAGTCAGTGAGTTATTGTATGGTCTACAGAAGTGGGGAGTCAGTGAGTTAATGTATGGTCTACAGTTTAGAGGAGTCAGTGAGTTATTGTATGGTCTACAGTTTAGAGGAGTCAGTGAGTTATTGTATGGTCTACAGTAGAGGGGAGTCAGTGAGTTAATGTATGGTCTACAGTTTAGAGGAGTCAGTAAGTTAATGTATGGTCTACAGAAGTGGGGAGTCGGTGAGTTAATGTATGGTCTACAGAAGTGGGGAGTCGGTGAGTTAATGTATGGTCTACAGAAGTGGGGAGTCAGTGATTTAATGTATGGTCTACAGTTTAGAGGAGTCAGTGATTTAATGTATGGTCTACAGTAGAGGGGAGTCAGTGAGTTAATGTATGGTCTACAGTAGAGGGGAGTCAGTGAGTTAATGTATGGTCTACAGAAGTGGGGAGTCGGTGAGTTAATGTATGGTCTACAGAAGTGGGGAGTCAGTGATTTAATGTATGGTCTACAGTTTAGAGGAGTCAGTGAGTTATTGTATGGTCTACAGAAGTGGGGAGTCAGTGAGTTAATGTATGGTCTACAGTAGAGGGGAGTCAGTGAGTTAATGTATGGTCTACAGTAGAGGGGAGTCAGTGAGTTAATGTATGGTCTACAGTAGAGGGGAGTCAGTGAGTTAATGTATGGTCTACAGTTTAGAGGAGTCAGTGAGTTATTGTATGGTCTACAGTTTAGAGGAGTCAGTGAGTTAATGTATGGTCTACAGTTTAGAGGAGTCAGTGAGTTATTGTATGGTCTACAGTTTAGAGGAGTCAGTGAGTTATTGTATGGTCTACAGTTTAGAGGAGTCAGTGAGTTATTGTATGGTCTACAGTTTAGAGGAGTCAGTGAGTTATTGTATGGTCTACAGAAGCGGGGGGTCAGTGAGTTAATGTATGGTCTACAGTAGAGGGGAGTCAGTGAGTTAATGTATGGTCTACAGAAGTGGGGAGTCAGTGAGTTAATGTATGGTCTACAGTTTAGAGGAGTCAGTGAGTTATTGTATGGTCTACAGTTTAGAGGAGTCAGTGAGTTATTGTATGGTCTACAGTTTAGAGGAGTCAGTGAGTTAATGTATGGTCTACAGTTTAGAGGAGTCAGTGAGTTATTGTATGGTCTACAGAAGTGGGGAGTCAGTGAGTTAATGTATGGTCTACAGTTTAGAGGAGTCAGTGAGTTAATGTATGGTCTACAGAAGTGGGGAGTCAGTGAGTTAATGTATGGTCTACAGTTTAGAGGAGTCAGTGAGTTAATGTATGGTCTACAGTAGAGGGGAGTCAGTGAGTTAATGTATGGTCTACAGTAGAGGGGAGTCAGTAAGTTAATGTATGTTCTACAGTATAGGGGAGTCAGTGAGTTATTGTATGGTCTACAGTTCAGAGGAGTCAGTGAGTTAATGTATGGTCTACAGTAGAGGGGAGTCAGTGAGTTAATGTATGGTCTACAGTTTAGAGGAGTCAGTGAGTTAATGTATGGTCTACAGTAGAGGGGAGTCAGTGAGTTAATGTTTGGTCTACAGTTTAGAGGAGTCAGTGAGTTAATGTATGGTCTACAGTAGAGGGGAGTCAGTGAGTTAATGTATGGTCTACAGTTTAGAGGAGTCAGTGAGTTATTGTATGGTCTACAGTAGAGGGGAGTCAGTGAGTTAATGTTTGGTCTACAGTTTAGAGGAGTCAGTGAGTTAATGTATGGTCTACAGTAGAGGGGAGTCAGTGAGTTAATGTATGGTCTACAGTTTAGAGGAGTCAGTGAGTTAATGTATGGTCTACAGTAGAGGGGAGTCAGTGAGTTAATGTTTGGTCTACAGTAGAGGGGAGTCAGTGAGTTAATGTATGGTCTACAGAAGTGGGGAGTCAGTGATTTAATGTATGGTCTACAGTAGAGGGGAGTCAGTAAGTTAATGTATGTTCTACAGTATAGGGGAGTCAGTGAGTTATTGTATGGTCTACATTTCAGAGGAGTCAGTGAGTTAATGTATGGTCTACAGTATAGGGGAGGCAGTGAGTTATTGTATGGTCTACAGTTTAGAGGAGTCAGTGAGTTAATGTATGGTCTACAGTAGAGGGGAGTCAGTGAGTTAATGTATGGTCTACAGTAGAGGGGAGTCAGTGAGTTAATGTATGGTCTACAGAAGTGGGGAGTCAGTGAGTTAATGTATGGTCTACAGAAGTGGGGAGTCAGTGAGTTAATGTATGGTCTACAGTAGAGGGGAGTCAGTGAGTTAATGTATGGTCTACAGTAGAGGGGAGTCAGTGAGTTAATGTATGGTCTACAGTAGAGGGGAGTCAGTGAGTTAATGTATGGTCTACAGAAGTGGGGAGTCAGTGAGTTAATGTATGGTCTACAGACGTGGGGAGTCAGTGAGTTAATGTATGGTCTACAGTAGAGGGGAGTCAGTGAGTTAATGTATGGTCTACAGTTTAGAGGAGTCAGTGAGTTAATGTATGGTCTACAGTAGAGGGGAGTCAGTGAGTTAATGTATGGTCTACAGTTTAGAGGAGTCAGTGAGTTATTGTATGGTCTACAGAAGTGGGGAGTCAGTGAGTTAATGTATGGTCTAGAAGGGAGTCGGTGAGTTAATGTATGGTCTACAGTAGAGGGGAGTCAGTGAGTTAATGTATGGTTTACAGGGAAGTCATTGAGTTAATGTATGGTCTAGAACGGAGTCGGTGAGTTAATGTATGGTCTACAGTAGAGGGGAGTCAGTGAGTTAATGTATGGTCTAGAAGGGAGTCGGTGAGTTAATGTATGGTCTACAGTATAGGGGAGTCAGTGAGTTATTGTATGGTCTACAGTTCAGAGGAGTCAGTGAGTTATTGTATGGTCTACAGAAGCGGGGAGTCAGTGAGTTAATGTATGGTCTACAGTAGAGGGAAGTCAGTGAGGTAATGTATGGTCTACAGTTTAGAGGAGTCAGTGAGTTAATGTATGGTCTACAGTAGAGGTGAGTCAGTGAGTTAATGTATTGTCTACAGTATAGGGGAGTCAGTGAGTTATTGTATGGTCTACAGTAGAGGGAGTCAGTGAGTTAATGTATGGTCTACAGTTTAGAGGAGTCAGTGAGTTATTGTATGGTCTACAGAAGTGGGGAGTCAGTGAGTTAATGTATGGTCTACAGTTTAGAGGAGTCAGTGAGTTATTGTATGGTCTACAGAAGTGGGGAGTCAGTGAGTTAATGTATGGTCTACAGTAGAGGGAGTCAGTGAGTTAATGTATGGTCTACAGTAGAGGGAGTCAGTGAGTTAATGTATGGTCTACAGTTTAGAGGAGTCAGTGAGTTATTGTATGGTCTACAGAAGCGGGGAGTCAGTGAGTTAATGTATGGTCTACAGTAGAGGGGAGTCAGTAAGTTAATGTATGGTCTACAGAAGTGGGGAGTCAGTGAGTTAATGTATGGTCTACAGAAGTGGGGAGTCAGTGAGTTAATGTATGGTCTACAGTAGAGGGGAGTCAATACACAGCGAGTCACGTGTTTTTGGCACTATGCCTAGCCGCCTTTGTTTCCCTAATGTGAATTAGGTACCCATCAGATTTGGATGGACTAAGGGACATTCTACTGATCTGAACAAGGATTCGAACTCGAGACTCTCGGTTTTGCAGTATAACTCTCCAGTGCTAAGCCACGCCATACCATGATCTAAGATAAAGAAAAACAATCATTTTGCATTGAAATTTATTTATTATGATTCATTTTCTAGAAAAAAATATGTTTCCCTCTTCCTCTGCGATCAAAGAACCGACCAAATAACTGTACATTTGTTAATGCTAAAACAAAACTTTAGATAAACTTACCTAGTATCAATGCGTTCCTTCCACAAGCAAACTGTCTAGGACCGTCTGTATTGAAAACTTCACCGAATATAACCATATTTTATGCACACATTTCGCTAAAAGCTGTCAATTTTAATATGAAAATAATTGGTTAGTTATTCGTGAAAATGACATTTTAATTTGTGGAAAGACTTTGTAGCTGTTTAATAAAAACAAATTCGTTTGAGCGTAGATTACTAACAAGTATTGTGTACTTAGTTATGTGGGCTCACAAAATCAATAAACGCGAGTTTCAAAACAACGAATTTTTTTTTATTTTAAATTCCGTATGTTTTGTTTTAAAAAATTAAAAATCGACGCACCATGTTATTTTAAAAAATAGGTTACAATTATTGTAACAACAAAGCATTACATTAATTATTGTGATCAAACGAAAATAAAGTATTACGAATAGGAATATTATCCACCGAACTTTAAATAGTAAAATATTAAAACTTAGCTTTAATTTAGGCTGGGGATATCTACAAATTTTATTTTAATATATACTTTACGTACAACAAACGATGGGAAACTTTATTTTAGCAAATCGTGAAGTAAGGGAGCCATTTAAAAAAAAACGAAAACTATTGAGCTTGTGTTTGCGTTTCTTTGTTCATTCCTATCTAGAGCACCTTGGGACCCTTATCAAAACACAAAACAAAAGTAATACGCTCTTAGCGTATAAAAAAAGGAAATCGAAAGCAGGTAATCTAAAAACATCTACTAGAGGTTATAAATTCAACAAGAACACCAAATGTGTATTTTTAATCCCGCTTGCTAGCAAAAACCGATTGGTCTACAGTAGAGGTGAGTGGGTGAGTTATTGTGTAATGATATCGTCGCCTCCTGTTGCCTTTGTTGAAATGTTAATGTGGGTTCAATGTTACATCTGTCTGGTTAGCACGCTGTAAAATTGTATCAGTGAGGATCTCTCTCAGATACGTAGTCTCGCAACACAGCCAGTTCCAATACACAGCGAATCACACCACACAATGAGTCACGATACACGGCGAGTTACTACACCAGTATAGTCATGTCTCTGGTAGAGTCAAGCTAATAGTAGAGTCACATTGTAAGTAGAGTAACTCTCTAGTAGAGTCAGGCCACTAGTAGAATCAGTCTCTAGTAAAGTAACACCACTGGTAGGGTCAGATTATCAGTAGAGTAAAAATTATCAGTAGAGTCACTCTCTAGTAGAAACACGCCAGTTGTAGAGACAAACCTAGAGTAGAGTCATATGAGTGAATAGTGCCTTTATCAGGTAGTGTGAGTGCATAGAACTGGTATCTTCAATTAGACTGCAGCTTCAATTGATAATAGGTTGATCATTTTTATGAAAGCTTCAGGAGGACTTGCCAATTAATATCATACTATAAATTCACGTAGGAAATATAGAATTTAGTTAAGTGTTTATTATTTCTAGCTCTTTACTGAGATAGTTTGTGTATTTGGCATGAGAATGTGCAGGGTAGGTGAAATGTAGTGTGGGGTTCAAAATGTTGAACTAGTTGTTTTTTTTAAAGTCCTATATAGAAAGCAAATGCAAAAATACAACGGACACTTAACGAAATGTAATACATTTGACCCATTTTCTTTATTTTATAATACTAACAGAATCTTAGTAAAAACAATGGGTACAAAAATAATCTTCGCTTGGTTTAGTTTTTAAACGCAAGCCATGCCACAGTGGCACCATATACTTTTGTGTCATCCCATGTTTCGAAGGTAATTTGAGCGCCAGTCGTGGTGATCTCTCCAGTACTGGCTATATACCTGGTGTTGGCACTTTTATTTATATCCAAATGTAACACGGAGAGCATAACCTGTGGTGCTGCTCCTACATAAGGTTTGGTGAACTTGACAGTCTGAACACTTTTCAGATGGTTGCCAGCCTTGCTATAGGTGTCGGAGTTTCCAAATGCTAGAACACCTTTTTCAAAATGAGGGCTTGTCGAGTCAGAATAATTCTGAATGCAAGTTGCCACTAAAAAGAAAAATTGAAAATACATATTGTATACATTAAAAATATAGCGTTTAGCTTTTGAACTTTGCTAAGAGAAATATATTTTTAAAAAGATTTTTATTACTGCTACTAGAAAATAGACATCACAAGAGGTTTAAAAAACGTTAATTAAGATGATAGAACGTTGGTTAAAAATCACACATATATAACTAAAATAATAATGCACTTTTCGATTTAAAAATTCAACTTAATAATTGAAATATATAACGTTTCTAACTTTAAAGTCTGATCTATAATTGGCTTTTACTCTGAAATGTGATTTAGTTTAATATGTTACATTTTACTATAATACACAATGATACTTACATTCATTGGTTGTTGCTACTGAGATCAAACTCAAGACTAGAAAAGCTAGATAACCGTACATTTTGTCTGAAAATAAATTGCATATGATAACTTGTTTTAAATAGGGTTTTCTTTTTAGTGTGATCATTATAACTTCTCAATATTGTTTAGTTTTGAATCAAATATGTTTGGAATTTAAAATTTAGAAGATTTATTTCTAAATTGCTGTTGCTGCAATTAAACATATTTTTAAATATTGCTTTATTTATTTTAAAATTAATCAATTTTGTTTTGTAATTTTTAAAATGATCATTATTATTACACATTTTGAATCGTTAAACCCACGCCTAAAATATATATTAAAAAAAACTTTCCTGAATTTACTCACACATATAGGTTCATGGTGTTGAACAAAAATACCTTTCAACTCAACAAAATGATATTGATTTATTTTATTGCGTTTTAAATAAAGATCAAAATTAATCAAATAAATTCGTATTTCGTCTTACACAGAAACCATTTTAATAGTGAATTTTATTTCTATACTCAGCTTCGCTATGATACAAAAAAAAATGCTATCTAATTTAAAATATAAGAATACACATTGTGTCAAAACTCACGTGGCTAAAACTGTTTTCAACAAAAAAATTATGAAGGCAGTCAACGTTCACTACAACACATAAAAAGCGTGGCTTAAATAATCTAGAGCAGATTAAATTATGATAAATTTATCTCAAAATGATAGTTCAACGTCATTGCTTAACTACAGTTTGATGTCTGAATTATTTTTAGGTCGTTAGCCTAACTTAACAATTCCTTTGAACTAGCGTATTACTTTTGTTTTGTGTTTTGATAAGGGTTGCAAGCTGCTCCAGATAGCGATGAACAAAGAAACGCAAAAACAAGCTCAATAGTTTTCCTTTTGACCACGACAAAATTCCTAACTTATTTCACTATTAAAAAAAAGTTTCCAATTACTTATTGTACGTAAGAAATATATTAAAATAACCATTGTAGTTATCCTCAGTCTAAAATATAGATTAGTTTTAATATTTGACTATTTAAAGTTCGGGGGATAATATTCCTATTCGTAATACTCTATTTTCATTTGAACATAGTAATCATTAGTATAATGCTTTTGTTGTTAAAATGTTAGTAACGTTTGTTAATATAACAGCGTGCGTCGTTTTTTACAATATATATATATATATATATATATATATATATATATATATATATATATATATATATATATATATATATATATATATATATATACATACATATATATATATATATATATATATATATATATATATATATATATATATATATATATATATATATATATATATATATATATACTTTGTCAATACAAAACACACGGAGTTTTAAATTAAAAAATAATTCTTTAGTCATTTTGAAAACTTGCGTTTATTGATTTTGTGAGCCCACATAAAGAGATGACACAATACGGGTTAGTAAGCTACGATTAAACGAATTTGTTTTTAACAAACATCCACAATGCTAAATTATAGCTTAGTTTTACTATTTACTTTCTCGTATATACGAAGTATAGAGAAAGTATTGTAATCGTGCACAAAAATCACTTGAAATTTTAACAATTTTCACCGTATTACACCTCAGTCCTTCATCACATCCGAAGTATAGAGGGCTTGTTTTAATCGGGCAAAAATTATCAATCCAGATTTATCAAAATTAAGAGGTTTTATGCGTAATCCAGTCTGAAAAACTGGACTTTGCAATTTTGTCCGTATGTCTGTGTGTCTGTGTGTGTGTGTGTGTGTGTGTGTGTGTGTGTGTGTGTAAACACGATAACTAGAGTACCGTTACAGCTAGGTCGATGAAATTTCATATATAAGTATTTTATCAAAATCGTAGATCCGTATCAACTTTTGAGCGATTTCCGATAACCGGAAGTAGTACTTTTCCTACTTTGAAATTTTCAAAAGCCTATAACTTGAGTACTATTTCAGATAGATAAACGAAATTTCACTTGTAATTAAAATATCTAATTCTCTACTTTCTGTTAAATTTTGAGTCATTTCCGTTGACCGGAAGTAGTAATTTACGCTACTTCCGATTTCTCAAAAAACTAATGTAAATTTTTAAAGTACTAATAATATTGCGCACTATTATGCACTTTTTTATTTGGCGTTCACTTGGTGTGCAATTCTTTTGTCTACGAGATTTTATTCTATTTTTAAAACTTTAAGTATTTAAAATGGATTAAAAATCATTTCTATAGCCCGAGTTCCCATCCCCTGTTATTTTATATAAAAATATTCGAGAAAGTTTAGGGGAGATCACTCCCGGTTTATTTACTGTTTAAAGTTCGGTAGATAATACTCCTTTTCGTAATACTCTACTTTTGTTTTTTCACAATATTTAATTTAATGCTTTTATGTTAAAATATTTGTAACGTTTTTTTAAAATAAAATGTTGCGTCGGCTTTTACAAGGATAGGTAAACATTTTTTAAAAATGTATTAAAAACAAAACACGTGGCATTAAAAAATGTTTGAATGCTTTGGTCATTTTGAAAACTCGCGTTTATTGATTTGTGTGAGCCCACACAAAGGAGAATACTGCGGGTTTAGTAAGCTACGCTCTAAAGAGTTTTGTTTTTACCAAACAACTTCAAAAACTTTCCACAAATTAAAATGTAATTTTCTCCAATAACTCACACATTATTTTCAGATTAAAATTGACAACTTTCAGCGACAATTGTGTATAAAATATGGTTATATTCTCTGTAGTTTTCAACACAGAAGGTCCCAGATAGTTTGCTTGCTGAAGAAACGCATTGATACTTGGTAAGCTTTAATAAAGTTTATCTAAATATTTGCTTTAGCATTAACAAATGTAGAGTTATTGTATATCTATGAGGTGGTTCGGTTCTTTAATTGCAGAGGAAGAAGGAAACAAATTTCTCAAAGTTCAAAACAACAGGTTAGAATTTTGCACAGCTTTTGAATCATAAAGTTTCATATTGGCGATAGATAGTTGTCAGAAGTCAAACTGTCTGGAACTAATAAAGAACCTACTGATATAAATTTGATTCGTTTTCATATAAAAATTCTTTTTAGTCGTGGAATTTTCGTGTAGGCGCAGTTAAAAAAATATTTCTAAGAAAACATTTATCCGCCCCACTCTCCAATAACCAGTTAAAAAACAGGTTATAATACATACAACGAAAAGAATTAGTAAAGATTAAGATAATGTGTAAGCCAAGAAGTTTGTTTATATATATATATATATATATATATATATATATATATATATATATATATATATATATATATATATATATATATATATATATATATATATATAATTACAAAGATAACTCTACGTGCAACTAAATCAAAGAAAATCTCGAGAAACCAAGTAAACTTATTATTAGAATAAACTGTTTCTCCAAATTATTTATTTATTTTGTTTTTTCGTGTGCCTATAGTTTTTAAATTAATTATTATTGTTTAAATCGGTGACACTTTACATGTAAATAATCCTATAAATGATTTTCTCTTATTTTTTCGCGACTGTAAATAGTGTGCTATCTCTACACCTATAAATTTTAAATCTTGGTGTTAGTCAGCATGTCTAAATTTTAAAGATTATAGTAACTAAATACCAATATTAAATACTTAACAAAAAAATCATTTTTATTAACATATATTTCAGAATAAAATGTTGAGTTATCTAGCTGTTGTTGTCTTGAGTTTGATCTCAGCGGTAACGGCCACTGAATGTAAGTATCATTGTGTATTTTATTATATGATTTTATTTAATTTACAATGCCCGTATGTTAATTTCTTTGTTTTTAGGTTAGTGGTCAATGTTCTACTTAAATTTTGGACCATTTCTAAAAGCTTGCTTTGTTTAAAAAAATATTGGTCGTTTATGAAATCTCTTGACATTTTAGCGGTCATAGAGAAAGCTTTCTTTTGTAATTTATTTTCTTGGCATTTACATTTTTTAAAATAAATGCTTTGTATATTTATTTTGTTGAAAATACAACGGAATTGGCATTTCAGTATTAAAAGCGAAATATAGTTCAAAGTAGTGACCCGTTATATAATTATAATTAAAGTAAACAGTACTTATTAAAATTATCATACAAAAAAAATAATTAATATCTCTATTTATTTACTGACTGAGTACATAGTTAACGTGTTATACCAAATATTTCTTATTGCTATATCAGTAGCAGTATTGACATTGGTTTGAAAATATACGTTTTTAATAAGTAAATTCCAAAAATGAAATAAGACGTTTTATACTGAATATGTAAAATATCAAATCTTTGACTTTTCTTTTTAGTGGCAACTTGCATTCAGAATTATTCTGACTCGACAAGCCCTCATTTTGAAAAAGGTGTTCTAGCATTTGGAAACTCCGACACCTATAGCAAGGCTGGCAACCATCTGAAAAGTGTTCAGACTGTCAATTTCACCAAACCTTATGTAGGAGCAGCACCACAGGTTATGCTCTCCGTGTTACATTTGGATATAAATAAAAGTGGCAACACCAGGTATATAGCCAGTACTGGAGAGATCACCACGACTGGCACTCAAATTATCTTCGAAACATGGGATGACACAAAAGTATATGGTGCCACTGTGGCATGGCTTGCGTTTAAAAATTAGACCAAGCAAAGATTATCTTTTGTACCCATTGTTTTAACAAATTTAATCTTCAACACCCTTTTTGGTTGGTTATTAAAATAAATGGGTCAAATTAAACATTGTATTATTTTTCAACTGTGTGAATGGAGCTGATTCATGAGTAAAATGTTTAAATAAGTTGCATTTATCTCACGAGTTTAATTGCATGACAATTTTATATACCTACAGTTTGACCTGAATGCGTTTAAAGGGGTAGGCTCTGGGGGAAAATGTGGATAAAAACATTTTTCCATAGTAAGACTTTTTAAAATTAATTTATGTTTATCAGGGACTCTTCTTAACACAGGTTGCCATGGAAACGACGACCGTCATGAAAAATCTACGTTTATGGAGATCCCACGGTTAAGAAACGAACATATACATTGATGATATAATCATTGATCTTTCTTTAACCAATTTTTATAGAGTCTGCTAGCTTATTTTGGTAACAAATACACTCTAGAAATACTTACTCGAATTTATATTAAAAATTGTGTATGTTGAAAACTGCTAAATTTAGCATTAATTTTAATATGATATTTTACCACACACTATGGATGCGGTGGGCGACTATAATCGTTGACTTTCTATCTTTTTTTAAAATCTTTTTTTCTTTGTTCTATTTTTCTTTCTCTCTTTCCCTCTCTTTCTTGAAGTTTAAGCCAATGGTCGGCATTGCAAACGCCCGTCTGTTGACGTTCAAGCCAGTAACCCCCTAAATAACACAGGACCTTACCTGGAAACCCAGAGACAGAAGCTCAAGATATCAGACCACAATACATTAACAGATAACACTAGACGTGCTGGTTAACATAGGACCATTTTGTGAAACTAGCTCAGGAGGAAAGTTCTATTCCGCGGTTTAAGTCCCAGTGAGGTAGAAATGTTGCTACTATATGAGGGGTGAAGTTATACAAGGAATAATTAATTTTAAGTGATATTAATTTTAAAAAAGATTATAGCTATTACACATATTTTTCATTATAATTAAACCTTTCATAAAGCATACGTTTGATGGAACTAGCATTCATCAAAATATTTCAACGGTTGTTTCTATTTGAAAAGTTACACTGTTATTTTTGTTGTGGATAAAAAGAAATAAAGAATTTCTACTCCAATTGCAGCTTAAATCATAAAAAAACGTATTTAAAAGCCTAAAAAACCTAAATGTTTTTTTAAGATCCATCACAGTTTTTCTAGATATGATCTGTACAAAATCAATCTCCTTGACATCCAAACTCTATTGGCTAAAAAAATCATTTACTATATCATTATTTTTTCTACTGTGTTCATTCATACTTACATCAAGACAGCAATATCTGAACATTGTTATTGAATAGCTTGCGATCTTACCATGAGACAACAGTTATCTGTCCCTTAGTATCGTCTACGGTCGGTTTCTCTCATGTTTGAAAACTTCCCTAAACACGGGGTATCTTCTGTCCACAATATGATCAAGTGATCGCAACGATCGGTAACTCTCAATTCGTTGATAAATACTGTAGTGTAATTAAGTTCTAATTAGATTGAAATTTTAATATTTCGCTTGGCCATCAGAAATAATGGATTAGGAATGTTGCATTTCCCCCCGGAAAATTTAGTCCGCCCCCCCCCCTCGAAGAAAAAAGTCTAGAAGAAACACTGCTCCCAATCAATGGGTCGCTAATCAAATGGGGATTTGTGAGGGCTTTTCATGGGGGGAGGGGGGGGGGGGGTTAGTCAACCTACATATATTTTTTTTTAATAATGTGGTTGTCGCAGGTCAAAAGGGGAAAAAGCTTCTTAAAAAATGAAGAACTTTAATTATATTTTTGCGTGTAATTTGCCTTCTGTTAAAACAATTGTGGAAATTCGTAGACAATTTATTGTAGAAACAGAGGAAGAAAAGAAAAAAAGTGACAAATTCAAACAAATTCACGTTCGAGACGTCTATAGTTATATTATATAAAAAAATAGAGCTATACTTTTTGTTATCTTGTTTATTCACCAGCCTCAGCGTGTTTTATGACCATACTGAAGAGGTATTGTAGACTAGACTCTGGAAGTCATTTACACATCTACAAGCTGAGCGCATGCCAGCGTACTCGAATATTGTAAATTTTGGTGTTACCCCAGGTGATCATGGTAATTTGAAACCCCGTTGTAGTGACCGCAGCCACTGCGTACTGCCATCTGGTGTTGTAGATGTTTTCAAAGTCCATGATTTCCACAGACGGGATGACAATGGGCGCCACGGCGTAGGGCTTGTTGAACTTAACAGAAACTACTTTTTGCTTGTACGCCCCAACAGAGGGTATAAAGGTATCGGAATCTCCGAAGTCAACGTAGCCAGAGTCATACTGCGTTACTGTGAAGAACAAAAAGTTATATTTGTAATGACGGAAAAATAAAAAATAAATTCTGATTTTTAAGTATGTTTTCATTGTTGTTTGTGTTAAGAAGTTGAATTAATTAGATAATTATTTATTCCTATCATTCATTATTTCATTTTAAATTCAGGATGTAAAATAGAAAATAACAAAAATAGCCGTCGCTTATATCAAGAATTAGTTAAGTTAATATAAAGCACATTAAAATACATTTCAAATACAACAATAATAAAATAATAAAACAATTGCCTAACTTGGATAACTTGGCTTTGATATACAAATATTAAAATTCGTCAACTTTACTTAAAAGGTACTCAAGATATCTTTTTTACATACATACACATTGAAACACACACACTCACACACAAAGACGCACACACACACATGGGTAAGATTGAAAAGCCGACCCAGGGTGATATAAAATGTCCAGATGTGTCCGCACCATTACAATACTTCCTATATTCTTCCTTTACTAAAAGGTAACAAGGTTTCGCGTCAAAAAGGGCTTGTAACTTGGTCACTAGCTTCTTAGGCCTAGTAAAACAAAGGGCGGCCACGTTTTTTGTTATCAATGGGAATCACTTTCAAAACAATTAATATTGTTTTCGAAAATTTAATTTCTCCCTGACTGAGGAGATTTTGAATTTTAAGCGAGAGAGGGACAGAGACTTACAAGCCCAATTAATTAGCGGTTTAAATAAATGATACTCCTAGGTTGTGCATTCCTTTAAATATTAATATAGGTTGTTAGTCACACAACTTCACGAAAAGCCAGACCCCCCCCTAAAATGACGTCACACCTCAGTCTACACCCCTTCCCCTCAAAATTGCAGTTGAAAATTTTCTTAAAGCATCGATATTTTTCCAAAAATGTGTCTGAACTCTGTCAACATAGAGTATTTTAATCAAATCCTATTACAATTTATTAAAACAGTTTTCTAAAAACGCGAAATAATGGCTAAAAATCAGGACAAGATACTTACATGCGGTACTTGAACCAACCAAGATCAAACCCAGAACTAGGACAGCAACAAATCGAAACATCTTGTTTCTGAAAAAAAAAGTTGAAGCTTATTCGAATTTGTGGCATGTATGTACTTAGATCAATTTTTAACATAAACTATAATATAGGGCTGTTAATGATCACAAAAGTACATAACTTAGACTTTTACAAAACTGATTAAACTAAAAACTATTATCAAAGCATGATAGAAATTTATATTTATCGCTTTATAAGGAATCGGTAGCTGGAAAAATTCAATTCGTGTTGTTTTTATATTTTTTGTTAATGACATTTTATTTTTTGCGTAGAACAGCGTGTATAAAGGGCATCGCTCAATGGGGGAGGGCCACTACCCCCGAAATGTTTCTAGCGCAACCTCCCCCCCCCCCACCCCCCCCCCCCACCCCCCATCGAACGAAATAGCATTTATAAACAAAATAAATTCTTCATCCAGTGTACATCACCCCTCCTGGAAAAATCGTCCGCCCACCCCCACTCCAGTTTCAAATGTCGTCCCCTTATTATTTTAGTTGTACAATAAATGTTAACAAAAATGTGTAATTTATATAAACACCCTAACGTTAAAAATGATATTAAAACAGTCATTCTTATTACAAATACAAATTTGATTGAAACCACTACGCATTAAACATATGAACATCAAATGAAAATGTCAACATTTTTACAAACCCTACCTCAAAGGAAATGTGTATCTATCGATATGTTTTCGGCACCCGGCTCTGTTGAAATAAAATCAAGGAAAATAACCCCATTTTATATATTTGTTCTCTAAAAAAACTAAAATTATTCTGAATATAATTATTATTCAATTGGGAAATTTTTAATAAAAACGTTTACACTGACCAAACAGAATCAATTATTATCTTTTTAAATAATATAAAATAAAATAAATATTTAGAGCAAACATTATAATTATGACATAGTCATCGCAGCCGTTGTAATCAATTCAACATTATAATAGTTTTCGTGAAGGTTCCCACATTTTAGGTATAAGTACCCTTTCGAACCTAACGGACCGTAGGTAAAGCAGAGTTTAGTCGCTAGGTAGCTAAAGTAGTTAAACATTAGGAGAACATTGCACAATGTCCAATTTAAACAATATAATTGTTTATATTTCCAGTTTTAAAAATGTGTGATTATTTATATGTGTGTCTGTCTGTGTTTGTGCGTACGTGCATGTGTGTGTGTGTGTAAGTGCGTGTGTGTGAGTGTGTGTGCGTAAGAAATTGTGGGTTGGGTGGGAGGGCTAAAAAACATTGGGTTATATTTCTAAATGTTATAGTATGATACATTTTTAACATTTTTAAATCTCATGTATTTGTTTATACTGTTCGACTTACTCATAATTTTACATCGAATATGTTAGTGTTTACTAAAAGTTGGCATTAGAGATTAAAATACTTAACGTGGTGCATATGATAAAGTAAGGGACGACTGCTCTAAAGTAAAGGTTTATAAAAACAGCGCTCCCGGTGTGAAATTATATTTAACACGAGCCGGCCCGCGGCATAACATACGCCGCTATTTAGTTGTTTCTAATTTTCAATAATTCATAATTTGTGAATTCGACAGTACCAACGCTGACACTGAAAATATTTCTTTAAAACACTATAAGTAGCTCGTTAAGGACCATAACCCCCCCCCCTTCCTTCCCCCCCCTCCCCCCCCCCCCCCCCCCCCTACGTTTAAAATCGTTGGCTCTGCTTGTAAACATTTAGAGTGAACACAGCTCACTAAAACCATGTAGGGGTGGGGAGGTAGGGAGAGCGTTTGCAGCTTGTTTTCTAACGGATCGAAGAAGAGAATTATATATATAGATGGTAGGAGAGTGTCTAATGGGGGTAGGGGAGTATTTGGGTCAAACTTTTGGGGGTGGGGGAGTATTTGGGTCTAACTTTTGGGGGTGGGGGAGTATTTGGGTCTAACTTTTGGGGTGGGGGAGTGTCTGTGAATGTATTTGGGGATTGTCTGGACTTTCTTGTGAGAGGTGGGGGCGTTTCTGTCTTGTGGGGAGTGTCTGGGTCTGTTTTGGTGGGGTGGGGAGTGTCTGGGAATGTCTTGTGGGGATTGTGAGGACTGTCTTCTAGGGGGGAGGGGTGAATTTAGTGTTCAGGGTTATTTAGCATATTTTCTATTTTTAAAAATTGTAAATATTCTTTTGACAACCAATGTTTATATTGATTTAAACAGCTGGCTGTATTAAAAGTTTTACATACAAGCTTATCAGTTATTCGTAAGAGCCCTATAAAACTTTGTTTTAATTAAATGAGATGAATTCCTGCATAATATGTAACTTTCTAATCAAAACAACTGTTATACATATTGGGTTCATATGGACTAAGAACGAAAATGTTATGTAACAATAATTAAATTCCAACGATGGGCAACTTGTTTACTGAGCTGGTGCTCCTCATAATATACGAAGGGTGTCCGTTTTCCAGAAGTCGTCATGTCCGGCAAATTTCCGTATACCGGTAGTTGTCATTTACGGCAAATTTCCGAATATTGCTAGTTTATCAGGTTCGTCAAATGTCCGTATATTGCTAGTTTGTCATGTCCGTCAAATGTCCGTATATTGCTAGTTTGTCATGTCCGTCAAATGTCCGTATATTGCTAATTTGTCATGTCCGGCAAATTTCCGTATATTGCTAGTTTGTCATGTCCGTCAAATGTCCGTATATTGCTAGTTTGTCATGTCCGTCAAATGTCCGTATATTGCTAGTTTGTCATGTCCGTCAAATTTCCGTATATTGCTAGTTTGTCATGTCCGGCAAATTTCCGTATACCGGTAGTCGTCATGTACGGCAAATACCCGTCTAGCAGTACTCATTACTCGTGACTAATTGAGTGACTCGACTTTACATTGGTGAGGAGTCTAAGATCAACTTGACCCCATATAGCGAGCCGATGTGCGTCATGACTCCACGTTTGACGTTTACCACATGTGTCGTGTGACTCACTGCGTGTCGTGACTCTATGTATAGCCTGACCCTTCGAATGACCTGAAACAGAGCGGCAAGCTTGGAAGTCAGAGACACACGGCACATAACCTACGACTTTTTTTACTGCCGTTTATTTTTCCAATTTTGCTATTGTTACAACTATTGTTTATTTTAAAACTCGCAGCAATGTTTGTTGGAGAATATGCTAAAATGTGTGTTTACATTTCTGTTGTCACATTCCAACGGCGCAACAGCTGGTTCATCTCTAAACACTTGAACTAGAGGTCATCTCCATGCACCTGTGCCTGCCTACAACTAAAGTAGGCATATACCAATGGACTCGTGATGTATTGCTTTAAATAACGAATTACTTTCTGAATTTTGGTGCAGATACCGAACTTTATTTTACCATACCCTCCCCCCCCCCCCCCCCTGCAAAGCGATCTGACAGTGTGGCAGATGAAATAGAGTTCATTTGTGTACAAATGAATCCTGTAACCAGTTGTATTTTTAATCGTCTTCAGCTTTAACCATCAAACTCCAGTACCATTTAGTGGCGGATGAATTCGAAATATTCTAGGCGGTTTTCAGTTATATACGACCGTCCTCGAGTAACCCGGGACAAATAAAAACTGAAATCGAATATTGCGGGCATAATATTGTTGGGTCGGAGGAAATTGGCTAAACTTGTATTTAGAGATTAGACTCTTGACACTGAATGTAAACTTGCCTTTGTCTTACACAGATAAATGGTCGTTTTCTTGCTAAACGTGTATTTAGAGATTACACTGTAAACAAACCCACACTGTGGCCAACCACAGCTGTAGGCGAAAAAGAGGAAACCATGAACAGTCAAAATACCTATGGTCAAACTATCTGTAGGCAAAGACTTAAAACCGGAGCCAACGATTAAGACATAATAAAATGACAATATCAAACAAAAGTATTTGAAAATTAGCCTGTTAGTATTTTGTATGTAGATCTATTTCAAATCTAGGTTTATCAAAAACACAAATATAATTATACGTTTTGTTATCATGTTTATTCGCCAACTTCAGCAAGTTTTATCAACCATATTGAAGAGGTATTGTAGACTAGACTTCATGTCAACTTTATTCCACAAGGAAGTCTTCAAAACATCTACAAGCTGAACGCATGCCAGCGAACTCGAATATTGTAAATTTTGGTGTCACCCCAAGTGTCCATGAAAAGTTGAAGTCCTGTTGTAGTGACTGAAGCAACAGTGTACTGCCATCTGGTGTTGTAGAGTTTTTCAAAGTCCATGATTTCCACAGACGAGATAACAATGGGCGCCACGGCAAAGGGCTGCTTGAAGGTAACATTAACCGTCTTTCGTTTATACGGAAAATTAATTGCTGTGTAGGTATTTGAATCTCCAAAGTCGACATAACCTACCTCATACTGTGTTACTGTAGAGAAAAAAAAAGTTATTTTTATGATTATTTAAAACATCTCCCTCGTAAGTAGTGGTCGAATTCTGCGCTGCCCATGGTGGACTCAGTTGTAGTCTAACGGTTGTTGAAGGAGCCCACTGATAACTTTTTTAAAGGGGCCCGAAAATGTTAGATACGCCTCTGGGTATAAGATCTTATTCTCTTGATTTTATTAAATTGTGAGTGATTTCTGGTGAACAGAAGTATTACTTTACGAAATATCCGATTTAAAAAAAATGAATACTTTTACCGAACCCATTTCCTCAAAACTTTTAACGCACGTATAGACTTTGTTGCAATGCATTGTTACATAAAATTTGTCTGGATTAGATGTTTAGTTAACTTTTTAAAAATTAATTAATGTTTCATTTATAAAGCACTAATTTTCCGATCTATTCTACACACATTGTTTACGTTTATTTTAGTGCGAATTTCTATTTCTACGCAATTCTATTCTACTTTACAATGCAATATACAAGTAAGTTTTAGGGGAGATTACTCCCGCTTTTCAAAAAACTTACATGCGAAGCTTGACCACACTGAGATTAAAACCAGGACTATGACAGGAAGAAATCGGCACATCTTGTTTCTGTAGAAAAAAAATTGAAGGTTATTCCAACTTGTGACACGTTTGCCCTTTGATCAATTAATACAATGCATATTTCTTTCTTAAAGTTTAAAATATACTATACATAGTGGCAATTACATTATATGATTTTTTTATCATTATTATATATTCGGCTATTCATTAAAAAATGTAGAACATTCTATTTTTTTTATATAAAACTAATAAAATAAAAAATTGGTATAAAAATCAAATCATAATAGACTTTTATGCGAGTCGCTTTAAAAAGAATCGGTATTTCGCAAAATGTAATTCATTGTGCTTTATATTTTTGTTAATATAATTTTTATTCATCTTATTTTGGTTTTAGTTTAGATATGTTTAGTCTAGATCTGCGAGTTTAAATCCCTAGCAATAATACATGTTGTGTGTTGGCCTTGAAGTCGCAATTGTTTGGTGTAGTTCGATAAATATTTCTATAATAAATAGTTCTTAGAAAATAGATCGACAAATTGTGTGTATGCTAAAAAATTAAGTTCACTAACTTTATTTAAATACCGTTAACCATTCTGCTAAACCTGTCACTTACATTATACTAAATAAATAATTATTCTGGTACGCACATTATTTAAAAAAAATATTTAGCTGACAACTAAATTCAGCAGGTATAAATCACGTGTTTTTATAAAACTTTGAAGCCTTAAAAATAACTTCTTATTTCGACAAGTACTTATTCTACAGATGAATATTGACTATAAATTTCAAAAACAATTTACCTCACAGGAATTCTTTTACTTTCACAAATTATTTTTGACGGCTACCAATGTTGAATAAAAAATTCTTAAAAAAGTACCGCATTTTATATGTTCGTTTTGTTTTTTAAAAATGTAAATTTATTCTGAAAATAATTATTTACTAATACTATTGTTTTTATCGAAATGTCTTTGAAGCTTTTGATCAAAATTAATTATGCATTAATTAATTTAGCATAATAATTAACTAAATAGAATCAATAATTTTTAATTAATATTCGGTTGAAGTCACCACGACAGTTTCAATCCACTTTCTTTTTATTTATTCGTTGAAATGAAGGTCCTTACACTTCAAGTAAAGGGGTGAAAATGTTAATAAGCTAGTTAGCTAAAAAAACACTAATTAAACTAATTGTGTGTTTGTCTATTTGTACGAGTGTTTTTCCATGTGTTTGTCTGTTTTTGTGTATTTGTGTATGTGTGTTTGCGTGACTGCGTGCGTGGATACGCATCAGGACGAGAAAGGCGAAAGACAGCAAGTTTTACATGAGTCTGTTCTTGTTGGACCCATTTTATATATTTTAAAATACATGTATTTGTTTAATTAAACATTTATAATTTAGTCGTTATTTTACTTCAGAAATGTTACAGTTTTTACTGAAAGTAAGCGTTTGTAATGCTAAAGAACAAATGTAGGGGCACAGAGTAATAACTATGTAACCACTGTGTTATTGATAATGTTTTTAGAGACAGCATAGACAGGTGTTCAGGAATTATACATTCTGGTGACTCATGAACTATTTGGGGATTACAGTACGTATATGGTTAAGCTATTACAATATTTAGGCTTTGATGTTCAGTTAAAAAAAATTATTCTTTTGTCAAGATTAACCTACACTTATGTTGATCTCAACAGCTGACTAAAAGTATCAAATTACCCAAATCATAAGTGACCTACTTGTGGCCTTTGAAGTTGGTTGACATACGGCATATGGTGGGCGGTTAGTCACCATGGACAGTAAATTATCGAGTGCTGGTATTTGTAATGTACGGCAAATCTTCGGGTAGAGTGAGATAGTAGCAGGAAAATACGGCAAATCTTCATGGGAAAATCTAAGTAGCGTGAGCCAATAGTCATGTGGAGTCACTCCATTGGAGTCGTGAAATACTGAGTGACGTGTTTCCACGCTGAGCAAGTCTCTTCGAGTGACGTGACAATGCGTGACGACAGCCATGTGTTGTGTGAGCCGTTGTGTGTTGTGACTCCGTGTGTGACGTGACGATCTATGGGCCTGACTCCACATGTGGGTTTGGATGTCTTAGTCACACACCATAGTACCCGCAACACAACGACGAATTAAGCATAGACGACAGCAGATGATGAGCTCCCTTTAGTGCATTGAGATGTTATGCACGCTTTAATGGACGAACGGGCGATACATTTATACACGGGTACACGTGTCAAGACTATGCAGAGCATTTTTCTCCTCTGTTTTACTATGTAGTTTTTGTTACAGTTATTGTTTACTTTAATTTTTTTTTTGTCAGGTTGCTTACAAACTCTGTTAGATTTACTTGTTTATTTTCCACGAACTGTTAAATTCGTTAATCACGTTACTCATTAGCACAAATTATGCTCGTATGTCAAAGCAAAGTTGAGCTCGCTCGACAGCTCTTATCTCAAAAATCTCGTATGTCGGACACTCGTATGCTGAGGTACCTCTGTATACATTTAAAACATTGAACCCCCCCCCCCCCCCTCAGCCCCAACCCCATGCTTCAAGTAATCTCCCCCTTCCCCCTAAGCCCAACCACCCTGGAGAAAACTGTCAGCCAGAAACCCGGAGCGCGCTACTTCTTAAACCAACCGCGTTTCTCCGTCACTTCGCGTCGAATCGAGGGTCTTGAAGCGCGTTGTGTGCTGGTGCAAAAAACTAAAAACCTCTGCAATATTGTAGGGGTAGTTACGTCCCTTTACATCAACCACTGGCCGTGGATAGGTCCCATTTACTCAGCCAGTGTGGATTATTTTTAGAAGCTCCAAACATCCCAGCTTCGGTAAGTTTTATAATAAATAATGCATGTATATGAAAGGCAAATATTTTTGTGTGTTGGTGATCATAATTGATGGTCCTGTATAGAAAACTAAAATAGTCCACCGATTCAATACATTTTTGCTACACTTATGAATAATGTAAAACCGGAACGTCGTCGCACACTTTCTGGCCAAATTAAATGAAAATTCAAATTGTTTTCTAATAAATGATCACTAAATATAGAACAAAACTGTTTTTTTTAATTACAAAATTATATTTTTTTAGCTTTTTTTTTATTCTCAAGCCCACACCATGTAGGAAAGAACAAGCTGTATCAATTATAAATAAGATGTGGCTTTATCATAATTAGTACAAAATAATGTGTAATAAATATTAAGAATTATTTAAAATTTAGTATTTTGATAATGATTATTTTTGTAAAATATACTGCAGAAAAAAAGTTAACAATAATGTTCATGGACACAAACATATTAGAAAATGTTAACAGGAAAAGATTTTTTTTAATTTATTAATACTAAAAAATGTTATCATGCTGACATAAAATGTGATGACAATTAAAATATACCATAAGTAACGTTACAAGCAAGTAAAATATTTTTATACAATAATGATTGATGCTGCTACATCGTACAATGAAAGCACAATTGCAGAAGATCCACAACGGTATTTAGTTATTGTTGACAAGCGTCAATCTTATTGAATTCAATTGATATTTTATTTAAATAATTGTTAAATTTGCAAGTACACATTTTGTTACATCAATTGATCAATGTATATTCGTAAAATTTATGTGTATTTCATCATCTAAACACAGAATAGTTTTGGAATGTATACCATAAGCATTCATAAACTTTAAACTAAAATCTATATACGCCAATTTTTAGCAGAGAAATCACCCTAATTTTTTATTTAAATCTTAATATTGCAATATGAGCGCCGATTTATTTGTGTTATTTAAACCACCAACAATTTAATATTTTAAGATAAATCGAAAACATTATAAAATACATATATATATATATATATATATATATATAAATATATATATATATATATATATATATATATATATATATATATAGAGAGAGAGAGAGAGAGAGAGAGAGAGAGAGAGAGAGAGAGAGAGAGAGAGAGAGAGAGAGATCATCTCACATTTGCCATTAAAAATCATCATGTTAATATTTTACAATCTTGAAACATCAATATTAAGATATATTGATAGCTCCACCTTGCATTAATCATCATAATATAGACACATCCATTATCGTACCATTTATTAACATGTATATCTCACCAAATCAATCATAATATTCAACGACATCAAAATCGACATACACATTCAATATACATTGCAAGTTACATTCATAATAATATGCACATTCTCTAATCTTATTGTAACGGTTATTAAATTACCATATTAAAAATGTTAATCCTGGTTATGTAGCTAAGCGCTATTTTATTCTATTTCAGGAAATGGAATAAACTTCGAAACTAAATGGACTCATTTGATCGTCTTCAAACGCTAGCTCCGCGTGACATAACGCTAGAATTGTCATCTCCAAGGTTAAGCCTCAAAGCCAACCTTTAAGGACTGGTCTTATAGGACATGGTTCACTAAATAAACCAAAAAAATTCCTTAAAGAAATACCGTAACAATTCATCAACGTAGACTAGACATATGTCATCTAGATAGACTGTCCATGTCATCTGAATAGACTAGCAATATGTCATCTTGAAAAGACTTATCATATGTCATCTGAATAGATTAGCCCTATCAGTAACCTGAAACGACTTTTCTTATTACATCGCCCATTATTTCATTTCACAATTTAACCATTTATTTCATCTGTAAAAATATATAGAAGTCATCTTCAAAAACTAGCCATACTTGTCATCTTGAAAGACTAGCCATACTTGCCATCTTGAAAGACTAGCCATACTTGTCATCTTGAAAGACTAGCCATACTTGTCATCTTGAAAGACTAGCCATACTTGTCATCTTGAAAGACTAGCCATACTTGTCATCTTGAAAGACTAGCCATACTTGTCATCTTGAAAGACTAGCCATACTTGTCATCTTGAAAGACTAGCCATACTTGCCATCTTGAAAGACTAGCCATACTTGTCATCTTGAAAGACTAGCCATACTTGTCATCTTGAAAGACTAGCCATACTTGTCATCTTGAAAGACTAGCCATACTTGTCATCTTGAAAGACTAGCCATACTTGTCATCTTGAAAGACTAGCCATACTTGTCATCTTGAAAGACTAGCCATACTTGCCATCTTGAAAGACTAGCCATACTTGTCATCTTGAAAGACTAGCCATACTTGCCATCTTGAAAGACTAGCCATACTTGTCATCTTGAAAGACTAGCCATACTTGTCATCTTGAAAGACTAGCCATACTTGTCATCTTGAAAGACTAGCCATACTTGTCATCTTGAAAGACTAGCCATACTTGCCATCTTGAAAGACTAGCCATACTTGTCATCTTGAAAGACTAGCCATACTTGTCATCTTGAAAGACTAGCCATACTTGTCATCTTGAAAGACTAGCCATACTTGTCATCTTGAAAGACTAGCCATACTTGTCATCTTGAAAGACTAGCCATACTTGTCATCTTGAAAGACTAGCCATACTTGTCATCTTGAAAGACTAGCCATACTTGTCATCTTGAAAGACTAGCCATACTTGTCATCTTGAAAGACTAGCCATACTTGCCATCTTGAAAGACTAGCCATACTTGTCATCTTGAAAGACTAGCCATACTTGCCATCTTGAAAGACTAGCCATACTTGTCATCTTGAAAGACTAGCCATACTTGTCATCTTGAAAGACTAGCCATACTTGTCATCTTGAAAGACTAGCCATACTTGTCATCTTGAAAGACTAGCCATACTTGCCATCTTGAAAGACTAGCCATACTTGTCATCTTGAAAGACTAGCCATACTTGTCATCTTGAAAGACTAGCCATACTTGTCATCTTGAAAGACTAGCCATACTTGTCATCTTGAAAGACTAGCCATACTTGTCATCTTGAA